GAGTCGTATACGAAAGAATGAATACTAAATTTATTTTAATAAGAACACTTCAAATTTTTGTAAATGTAACAAGAAAATTGAACTGACATTTTTGACAAAGAGATTTATAATCTGGGTTGCCACAGAAAATAAAATTTTTAATTCCCTGACTTTTCCAGGTTTTACAGATAAAAATGGAAAATTTTTCAACATAAAATATGTAAATTTTAAGTCAACATTTAATAAAGTCAAGAATTGTAAGAAAGCTATATAGCATATATTATCAAAAACAACGCAAAAAAGGTTAGCACACTAAAATTTTGAGTGCAAATTCAAGTCGAAAAAAAAATAATAATAAATTAGTATTGGAAAAAAGAATGCAGTTATGAAAAAGAGCGATCAAATAAAAATACTGAATAAAATATAAAAATTTTAATTATTTTATTAAAATCGTTTAAAGTGTGCTAGTTTTGAATGTATTTCACTATAAACGTCAGATATTATATTAAAAAATTATAACAATTATCTAGAATAGGAACAGTTTAAAGAAATTGTGAGCAAATTTCACACACACACAAAATTCCAGACTTTTTTATATTTTCCCCTGACTTTTCCCGGTTTTCCACGACCAATTTCAATTTCCCTGTATACCGGTTTTCCAGGTCTGAGGCAACCCTGATAATTGAATAAGTAAGGTCCAATGGAAAGAAAAACTTTAATTCCTTATATCGCACTAAATTGTTTTCAATTAAATACTTGTCGCTTCAATCAGAAAGAAGTTCGAGAAGGTTATTAATCTTAGGGGTTGATATAAACGTTAACTATTCACGAGTATGAACTGTATTTTCTGCTGATTGTCGCGATCGCTAATAAAGTCCATCCTACATTAGACGCAAGCCGATCGTAAGTTTGTTGCGACAGCCAATCTGAAGCTTGCATTTTGAAATCAACGCTTCATATTAGTAGAATGGGCTTAATGCGACGACACACAGTTTGCGCCACGTTCTATGCACGCAAGTCTCACCACGAACGATAACAAAGCGACTTTATGTAAACAACGGCATGCCTGTGTATGCCGTTAAAAGCAAGCGCCGAAACTGAGTTCAATTTGTCGCCGTTACGAAATAACTAGCATGCACTAAGATAATTAAATGTATGCCGAATATTGTGTACTTGTGTCTTAATTTAATTAATTTAACCGACAACGAATATCATTTTTGTCGCTTAATTAAGTTATTAAGGTTCCATTCCATATTCTCGAGTAAAAGACGATGGACAAGTTACATTTTAATTCGGTACGATAAAGATGAATTCACGAAATTATGCAGAATAATCGCTCAGAATATGCGCTCTAATATTGAGAAAGAGAAAGAAAGAGAGAAAAATGTTCGATATTTGTGACTATAATTACATGATAAAATAATTATGATTAGAGAAGTTCCATTTTGACTATATATATAGAAATGTAGTTATTATTACAACAAAAATAAATATAATTATTACAATTTTTTACCACCGCGTAATTTAATTATAATTTAATCATTTTTATGAAAATAATTATTATATTTATAATAATTTTCGGTATTAATAAGTATATATGTTTGTTTAGTAGAGCTAAAACAATTATTATTACTACAATATTATAACAGTAATAGCTATAATTACAGTACCATATAATTATAGTCACATTATAATTAGGGTCAAAATATCCGAAACTTTTCTTTTAGTGAAAAAGCAATCATAGATTTAATATATTTATGACGCCCAGTTTGATATAACTTACGATAGAAATCATTCTTTCGACGATACATCAAAGACACGCATAAAATAGATTTTGCATCAAACGTGAATCAAACTTCTCATTAATTTAAATGTATCTTATCCATTCTTTTTCGCCTCAAGAACGTATAATAAACAGAAATCGGCAACTCGAAAGTTTCAAAGTAACGAAATCATGATTCCCCCTTACGTTTATTAAAACAAATGTAATTCGTTTCTTTCAATAGATATTATACAGAATTTCAGAAATATCGGTCGCACATTTTGTGCTTCATTTCGCGGTCCCGTTAACGTTATTTACTTACACGAAAAGAATAGCTTTGCTAATTTAACTATCTAAAAATTAAATGAAATACATCTCTTATTTTATATTTAAAATAAGTTATTTATCTACACGAATAGTTTTGCTGATTTAAGAAAATTTGCATTTATCTTTATAGAAAGGATATATAATTATCAACCTTCATTTAAGTATATGAATCATCAAAAAGAATAATGTTGAAATATCAAAAATATCCCATACGAATAATTACTAATTTTAGAAGAACCGCGCGCAAGTACACTGTTAAATTTTATAGGGTCAAATTAACTCAATGTGAGTCGTCACTGCTCCTACTAAATGTATCGTTATTTTTTACTAAAATGATAATTAAATTTGATAGTATATAATGTTAAACTGATTCTATAGTGTCAAATATAACCATTGTTTTAGTAAAATATAACGATATTATTGAGTAGGAGCAGTGGCGACTCGCATTAAGTTAATTTGATCCTATAAAATTTAACAGTGTAATATAGGATTGAACGAATGCCAAAGATGCTACAAATCAAAGCGCAAAATGTATGACGATACCCGTTTATTAAAATCATATCAAAGTAAGAGAGAAAGAATAATTGAATAAATTGAATATTTTTCATACGCGTCAGTTAGACGTCCGAACGGCGCGACGGCAGTCGGTGAAGTGTGAACAGCGAGTGAGCGAGGGGGAGAACGAATACGGCGAATAGCGAGGGGGAGCGCGGCCGACTACGTCATCGTCGTCATCACTTCGGCATTCGCTCGG